TTTCGAATTTGTAGTTGTCTACCATTTATTAAAAAGAATTAAGAAAGATACAATATCTGAACGGTCGTAAAAATATGATTTTATTGCTGTTGCTGTAGTTTCATGGAAGACAAATAAAGTAACAGTGACATTTTGCTTGTAGTTTCCAGATTGGATAACTTTTTTATTTATTTTTGGTGCTTTTTTAAACTTGCATCCAACAGGCTGTCCTTTTCTAATAAATTATGAAATATTTGTCATGATATTTCTTCTGGTTGAACGTGAGTTTTATCTTTAAAAACAGAACAAAATTTCAAAAAAGCGCCAAATATTTTAATAGAAGCTGCATTTGCTTTCTAACACACCATACCTCGGTATGATGTGTTATAATGGGTGCAATATCTTGAATTTTGAAAAGTAAAATTTCTTTCGCAGCAAAATTAGTTATTTGGTAAATAATTCGAACTTGCTAGGAAAATAAAAAAAATTTCAAAAAAGTTTGTTTTTTGTTATGGAAAGTTTAACTTTGGCCTCCGCGAATAACTCTAATTTTACCTTTTAATTTTTTTTATTTTAGGTTTTTTTACAACTATATTTTTTATAAAAACATTTTTTAATATTTTTATAAATATATTTAAACATTTTCTTCACTTCCCCAGTACAAAACCTTACAATTAATTTTTACTTCCGAATATTATCAGCCCACATTCTTATTTTATTGAGTTAGACCAAGGACGTTTAACCCATTGTTATAGATCTGAGGGGCCGCACAGTGGGCCAGGTGGTGGACAAAACCTCAAAAATGAAATTTTATTATTTAAAATATCATATAATAAAACATAATCGTAATATTCTATTGATTTATTTAAACATTTGTTTGAGTTTAATAGTATCATTCAAAACCACAAAAATCAATTGCGCTTCCATGTATGGAAGCGCATTTTTGTGCATATCTTTTGTTAACAGTAACTTTAAAAAAAACACGTGTATGCGCAATTAGTTTATTTATTGTAACTATTTAATTGTATAGCTTTATAAAAAAAATATAAAGAAAAAATCATTATTTATAACACATTTATAACACATCTAGTTTTATTTTTTTTAACTATAACATATTTATAACACATCTAGTTTTTTTCCTCGAACATCAGTTCTTTGGAATTCGCTTCCTTCATCTTGCTTTCCTGATTCATATAATTTGCAATCTTTTAATTCGTCTGTCAATCGTTATCTTGCTCTACAATCTTCATCTTTTCTCCTCCAGTAACTTCCAGCACTAATTAGTGGTTGCTTGCAGCCTTGTTGGAAGCGAAGATGTTAAAAACAAAAACAAAAAATTATAAACTGGCTTTATTATAACAAGGCAGTGGATCCATTCGGAACTCCGTCTCGACGGATTTTTCTCGGTTTTTCGGAGTTTCGGAGTTCGAGACAAATCGAGAAACTTCGACGAAACTTCGACGAAGTTTTTAGAAAATACCAATTTTTTATTCGTAAAATAATTGAATTCTTATTTTATTTCTACGTGGTTTTTACAATTGTAAATTGTAATTTTAAAAATTGTTTCAAATGTAAGTGTTCTCTTCGTTTAATAACAACACTAATATACATCGCAAAGCAATTGGTAATGCACAGTGGGCCAGGTGATGATGGTGAAAAAAACCTCAAAAAAAGTTTATTCTATTCAAAACCATATATTAAAACATGCTCATACTTTTCCATTGTACTATTTCAAAAACTCTTTTGTGTATATTAGTATCTTTTTAGTATTAGTATTTTTTTAAATCCACAAAAATCAATTGCGGTATAATAAAATGTAATGCATAATAAAAAGCAAGAATTTTTTAATTTTTAAGCAAAGATATAATAAACAGTAACTTTTAAAATATTATGCGAATGTGATATTAGTTTATATATTTTAATTACTCAATAGTTTACCTTTACAAAAAAAAAGTTTAGTCAAGATCATTATTTATAATATAAACAAAGACTGGTCGTAAAATAACGAGGTAAGTTTTTAACATATAAAACATATAAAACTTTCATTTTATACAAGTAGTGTCGTATTTTGTATGATCAAAATAATTTTGTCCACCATAAGTCTAAAATCCGGCCCACTGAGCATTGTGGCAAAATTGTGCAATAAAATGTTATCAGTGAAAATAAATAATAATAATAATTAATGTTTAATTATACTTACCTATCAGAATAAATAACTTAATAACTTAAAATGTGATAACTTTTCACAATTAAAATAAAATTAAAAACAAATATGGGAGGTCATTATCAAATTGATAATTTTTCTTTCATAGAAAAAAATGGTTTCGGAAGCGTGGAAGTACTTTAATAAAGTTGTGGTAAATGATAAGAAGTATGGAGATTGCAAAAAATGTCATAAAAGAATCGCTTGTCCAGGAAGCAGCACAAACGGCCTTTTTGGACACGTCAAAAGTTGCGAGAAAATAGATTTGAAACCATTCAGTTCCAGACCAGTTTTGACTAAAATGTCATTAAACGATCTTCTTGCCAAGTTGACAGCTCTTGATGGGTATTCGATTAGGTCCATAACTCAATCTGAAACACTAAGAATGCTTTTTGAAAATTACGGGCATAGTTTGCCTAAGTCAGCGTCCGCAATTTCAGAAAAAATTAAGATGTTTCATGCTGAAGCCAAATACTTAATGATCGCTGAATTGGCTGCATTGAAAGCAAAAGGAGAAAAATTTGGACTAACAGGTGACGAATGGTGTAGCAATAGAGGTAGAAGATACTACAATTTAAATGTTCATCACGACAGAACGTATTGTTTAGGAATGATGAGATTGCCATCTCCTAGTTCTGCTGAAACATTAAACATTTTGATAATGGAAAAATTAAAAAAATTTGGTATAGATAGTGAAGATATTGCAGGTAAAACTACGGATGGCTGTAGTTGGATGGTGAAATTGGGTACCATATTTAAGTTTCCACATCAGATCTGCCAGAATCATTCAATTCATTTGAGTGTTTGTGATTTGATATACGCTAAAAAAGATTGTCGCAAAATTGTGAACAAAGAAACTGAATCGATTATTGAAACAGAAACAGAAACTGATGGAGAGTCTGAAGGAGAGTTTCTTATTGAATATTCGGAGAATGAGATTGAGTATGAAGAAAATATCGAAAAAAATCTACAGAAACTTCGAATACTAATTAAGTTTTTGAAATATTCATCGTTTCGATATGAAGTTCTTAAAAGAAAAATACACGAAATATACGGATCTTCGCATGACAAAGGACTGTTGTTCGACAACCGAACAAGATGGAACAGTGTTTTTAAGATGATTAAAAGATTTCTGGATTGCTTAGAAGCTGTAAAAAAAACACTCGAAGAGCTAAACTGCTTAAACATGTTAGCTGAAATTGACTTGGATTTCTTAAAATCGCTGTCTGACTTATTGGAAGTCGTTGCTGACGCTGCAGTTCGCTTGGAAAAACCAAATACAACAATTTTGGAGTGTGACATTATTATGGAAACGTTAGTAAGTAAATTGAAGGTTGCAGAAACTGACATCAGTTCTAATTTTGCAGAGACCTTAATCTCCAGATATGAAGATTGTAAAAACGTTATGTTGGTATCATTGAGTCGTTATTTGCACAATCCCGATTTTTTTAAAAATAAAAACCACACATTTTTTTACGCTTCCAAAAAAGATATTCAAATTTATGCTTCAAAATTATTTGATCAACTATTTGCAACAAAAGAAAATAGTCTCCAATAAAAATCAGATGATCACGCTAAAAACAAACAAGAAGAACCATCACAATCGACATCTTTTTTCTCCGAAATTCAAGAAGTTCTAATTCAAAATCAATCAGCAGCTAAAAAACCAAAAAAAGTCAAGACCTTCACCGATCAGTTAAAAGAATATGAAGTAACTGGTGTGAAATCAGAAACAGTTTTAAAATTTGAACTAGCCATCCACAGAATTCAAGCAACTTCCTCGGAAGCAGAAAGAGTTTTCTCCTCGTCTTCCAGATTTGTCACAAAGTTTCGTAGTTCGCTTTCTGATGAAATGATAGATGTTTTGATCTTTTTAAAATATTATTTAAAAAGATCTTCAGTATAAATACTTTTTTTTCAAATTTTTTTTTTAATTTTTACTATAGGTGCCCCAACAAGTCTTTATTGCATAGCAACGCAGAAGGGCATTTAACTGAAAGTTCACGCCTTCTTCCTAACCGATGCCGGTTAGAAAGCCAATTATTAAATATAACTTGTTCGTTAAAAAATTGTGATAAAAAAAAAATTTATGCACTAAGAAATATAAAAATATAAATTTTTTAAAATTTTATTATGAATTATAAATCGAAATATTTAAAATTAAAAAATAAAAATACAAGAACAATGTTTAATTATCAAATAGAGAGTTTAATTTTTTTATCAAATAGATAGTTTAATTTTTATAACAAAATATTATCGAAACTCCGATTTTTTCTCGACTCCGACGGAGTTTTTTCTCGATTTCTCTCGACTCCGTTTTTTCTCGATTTTGGATCCTTTGATAACAAGGTAAGTTTATAACATTTAATACTTTTCTTTCGTACAAGTGTCAAATAAAAGTTAGAAAACCTACGAGAACCTATATCCAGTGCTTGAGCTAGTAAATGCAACATGTACATAACCTATTAGAACTGTATACATCGCCCTTAATTTCCCATTTTGAGTTAATTTGATACTTTAAAAGTACGAGTCTCAAATCGTAGTATTCGAATACTACGATTTGAGACTTTTTCGAATACTACGATTTGAGACGATTTTGAGCGAATATTCGCTTGAAATCAAAATACTTATTTAAAACGTCATGTTTTTTATTCACCCAAACAATAACAGATGTTATTTTTCTCCAATACAATTCAACGCACATTGTACTGTTTGAACAATACTTTTTTTGTTTTTTACTTTAGTTATAATATGAAAATTGGTGAGATTCACACACTTATAAGACAAAACAATCTAGTTCCTAATGATAAATCATTTTTTTTATCAGTAAAATCTCTCCTAACTACAGTAGATATTAAACTAAACGATTGTGAGTCTAAAAACTTTATAAAAGTATATCGTAAAACGTGGATACCTGCAAATAATGATGTAAATTATTTTGAAAAAAGCAATGTAAATTGGCTAGCTCAAGATTTTCAGTTTACGTACATTACGCTAAAATTTTTAGTTGTTGCTCTTTTAAAAACTCATGCAAAAAAACAAAAAAGAGAAAGCTTAACAATGTTATTAACAGTTTATCTAACGCTGAATTACTTCATGCAACAAAATTGAAATTTAGAAATGAGTTTAAGTACGAGACTGCCAGAAAAATTACCGAAATTTTAAAAGACAAATTAGTTGAAAATCTTATGAAGTACACACGGAATGAAGGTCTAGCATTGATTGTTGATGGTGGTTTATCAAAATCAACATACCAGCTTTTACGAAATGGCGCAGAAGAAAAAGGCTGCTACATTTATCTTTTATATAATAATATACGATTTTCTAAATCTAAATGTTATCCCAAAAACGTTTATGTAGATGAGTATGCCGTAAACATACCGCTAAAAGACCTTCTTATGCACACACTTGAAAGACTGTGTGACGTACAGGCTCCTGTACTAATAACAATGTTAGAAGAACTAACTAAACTGACTAGATTTAGATGCAAGGCTGGGTTTGATAGTGCTAAAGGGCAAAGCACTTAATGAAAACATTGAAAGAAATCTAAAAAATGACAAGTGCTTATTTATTACTTGCATAGTACCATTAGAACTCGATGGATTTTATAATAATAAAAACGTAGTAGTGTGGAGAAACGAAAAGCTGTCATCAACTGCATATTGTCGACCCGTTAGATTTTCTTTTCAAAACGAAAGCAAGGATGTTGTGGAAGAAGAAGAAAAAACTATTGATTTCGAAATTGAGAACTGTGATGTTATGAAAAGTGATGTTATGAAAAGTGATGAATTTAGACACCGATAATTTAGAGTTTAAATATGGTTTATCTAGCCTACACGCTTGGATAAACATTTTTGAGCTAACACTACATATTGGATATAAAAAGGAAACCGGAAAATGGCAGGCTAGAGCCATAGCTGATAAATTAGCTGTAGAGCAAGTAAAGTGCCGAATTCAGACCGATTTTATGAACCAATTAGGATTAGTTGTGGATTTTTCCAAAAATGGAGGATCGGGTAAGTCAAATTTTATATTATATAAAATATATATTATATATCCATATAACATTTAAAATATAAGATATAATTTTCTAATTTTTTAGGTACTAGTAACAACAGAAATACTGCCCGCAGAGCTTTTGCCAACTATAAATTAACCGCCGAGATATTAAAAGTTGATGAAACTCTTATATATTATTTTAGTCACTTTGTCATCACCATATGAAATATTTCATATGAACATGAATAATTGGATATATAAAGTTTTAGAGCGGTTATGCAAAAAACTTTAAACTTTATAGTATTTATTTAAATAAATACTATAAAGTTTAAAGTTTTTTGCATAACCGCTCTAAAACTTTATATATCCAATTATTCATGTTACTATATGTCACAATCTGTTCACAAAATTTTGGTTCATGGTCATGCCATAATTGAAAGACAATTTCTACCAATCAGAATAATGTCAGAAGATGCCCTTGAGGCGCGAAATTAAGATTTCAAGATCTTTCGGGAACATTTTAGCAAAAAGACTACAAGAAAAGATACAAACCAAGATTTGATTATTAGGCTTCTTGTATCCAGTGATCCCGTTATAACATCTCTTAGAAAACTAAATAACAATCAAAGTTTGCATAAATTTCCCAGTGAAGTTCTAGAGTTGTTGAAAGAATTAGCTCTGTAATTAAATGATAACAATCAATTAGCTCCGTAATTAAATGATTTGTAATATATAAATTAGTACAAGCTTTGTTTTCTTTTTTCTACAAGTAGTCTTTTTTCTATATAGTATAAAAAAACTTAAAATGATGTTATTCAGAATTTGGGGGTAATAAATTTTAAAATTAAAAAATGTAATACTTTAGACTAAAACTTTACTAATTACTACCATAATTAATCTATAGAATTTATATTTCATCATAAAATATATTTAAAACCTCATGAGCGTTTTATGAGAACTTAAATATAAAAAATTACAAACCCGCGTTTTTTAAAGTTTTTCTATGATATTCAATAATTTATAGTAAATGCGAATATTTTTTATTATAAGGTGGTTATTTAGACATTTAAAGAATTTTAGTAAAAAAAAATATCAAAATAATTTTGTCCACCATAAGTCTAAAATCTGGCCCACTGTGCATTGTTCCAGTTTTTACGTAGAAGAGCGCAGATGGTCTTTTTTACGGTTTTTACGTAGGAGAGCGCTGCGATATTAGATAAATTAAAATTTTGATCGTGTTCTCCTACGGAAAAACCGTAAAAAAGACCATCGCGTTCTCCTACGGAAAAACCGGGACAAATGCAACGCTAAGTGTGCATTGACTTAAATAAGAAAAGGCACAGTGGAAGTGTAAACACGTAAAATATTTTTAAATGAAGCAGAAATTCTGCTGCTTGCAAGTCTGCTTCATTCGCATTTATAATTTTGTAAAAAATCACGAAGTATGCCTGCTTAAAAATCAAACGTATTGCAAATATAAAATCTCAAAATATAAAATGCATTTATTTCATAAAACCATTATTACATATATAACTATAAAATTTTCATTATTTGATATATTACTTTGATAATGAATAAAATATGTTAATTTAATTTGAATAAAAGGCACAACAACCATATAAAATAAAAAAATCACAATAATAATATATTAAATATCCCCAAAAATTGTTTGTTCAAAATATTTATAGAAGCAATAAAAATATTTATAGAAACAAATACGATATAAAATTACAAAACGCGAGAATCTCTTTTAAGAGCACAAATCAACACCATGGAGAAAATCAGTCCGATGATCTAAAAAAAGCAGAGAGTCATCGATTTAAAAAAAAGATTTTAATAAAATTTTATAACTAAACACATAAAACCCACATAAATGATTTCGTATTAAAAAAGTATAAAATTATTTTATATGTATATTGATTATTTTTAATCCATTTTTAACAACAAAAATCCCCCCGCCCCTCACTTTGATGGATTGCAATGCATTAAAAAATATCTTTCCATCAAGAAGGCATCAAGCCCCTTAAAATTAAGTTAAAATCCTAATTTATGTAAACACATTTAATAAAAAAAATGAAATAAAAAGCATTTATGGTTTTACAGAAATCTCAAATTAAAGTTGACCGGATTTTTCCGTGTCAGCCCGATAAATACTACTTTCATTTTCTCTCTTTCTATTTTTTGCCAACTTATACCTTTTCTTATTTGCTTTCCTAACCAGAGATATTTTTTTACATTGAAACCAAAAACCGGTTTCTCTTAGACACTATTTACAATTTTAAAGATATTGCCTCAGAATGACTTTTATTTAACTTGGTGCTATTTACAGAAACTAAGAAAACTTTATTATGCTCATTACTAAAAATGTCTTATATTAATCTGATGCTTTTATTGTCTTATATTAATCTGATGCTTTTGTCCTAGAAGACAATCTAATAAAAAAAGATATTTTTTTCTAACTTTACGTTAAAACCCGTAATTTTTTATAACTGCGTGAGAATTACTTGGTGTTTTTTTTTTATTTTGTTTATTTACTTAATAATATTTTAAAACCTGAAACAAACTTGAAAACTATAAAACCCTGTGAATGTTATTATCATTTTTAAGTTGATAATTATTATGTTGCATAAATAAATAAAAAAAGGCACAAACATGCAAAAAAAATCTTTTAGCCACACTGAATTAAAATTACAAATGAAATAACCTGCTCAAAATTTCTAATAACAAATATCTCAGAGTAGATTTTGTTGTGTTCTCTATTTAAATATATAACTACCAACTCTTATTTTATTTGTTTTAAGATTTATTATAATAGTATATATATATATATATATATATATATATATATATATATATATATATATATATATATATATATATATATATATATATATATATATATATATATATATATATATATATATATATATATATATATATATATATATATATATATATATATACACATATATATATATATATATATATATATATATATATATATATATATATATATATATATATATTCTTTCTTACTTTCTTTAATGCGTTCCACAGCAACATGCTCTTACAAATTAAAATTTTATGTATTTCTTTACCAACACTCAACAGTTCCCCCTCTTTAGGAAAGCTTCTATTATTACTTGAATAAATAAATCTAGATGTTTAATAGCAAAACTTTATTGATCTATTAATTAACTTGGGATACGATTTTCTTTCAACTATTTTTCTTTTTTTATCATTTATTGGTGTTTCACTTTGTATATTTTCAGCTTCAGGTTTAAGGAGTTTTTTTATAAATTGTATATTCTGGGCCAACTCGCTTCCTTCTTGATCGACTACTATGATTAAGTTTTGCTTTCTTTCTTTAATTACATATTTATTGTTTAAATATTTTGAGTCTAATTTTTCTCCCAGTTTATGGCGTTTTACAAGAACCTGATCTCCTACCTTAATGTCATCATTCTTCTTTGCATAATGTTTCATATCAAAATATTCTTTTACTTTTTTATACTTTTTATCTTGGCATTCTCTCATTTCATTATCATACAATGATTTTTCAACTATTATTGATAGGAACTTATTTTTGATAATTCTATTGAATAACAATGCAGCTGTAGCATTAGGTGCAAATCTATAATTTTGAAGCATGCTTTAAAGTCTCTCTCTCTATTTTTTACCCATGAAATGAGTTGTTTAAACAGTTTTTCCTATCACCTGCATAAATTTTTCTACTATACCGTTTGCTTGCGGATATCGAAGTGTTATTTTAATGTGCTTTATGTCAACATTTTCTAAGTATAGTTTTAATGATTCACTTTGAAACAGTGGTCCGTTGTCACTTCTAATTTTGTTAGAATAACCAAATGTAGTTTACTAATGATGCTTGAAGATGTTGTGATTTTGTTGTGATTTTCACTATATCAACAAATGGTATCTAGAATTTAAATCTTCTATAACAAATAAATACTTTCTTGATGGCAATGGTCCGAAAAAAACCCATTGCTAACTCATCCCAAACATGTTCTGATAAATTCGACATTTTTATTGGTTCAGCATTTGGAACACGTGAATTAGCTTGGCATCCAAAACATTTTTCGCCATATGTTTCTATATCAGTATTTTTTGAAACAACTTTGGTAGAACAATTTTTTCTCCTCACAATATGATTCCTCTGTGATCAGTTAACTCATTTTGAAATTTGCATTACGGTTCAAATATTAGATTGTCGTACCATTAAGCAAACAACATTGCTGTTTTTACTGCAAATAAAATAATATTTGTTGCTGTGTCCATTTTCATATCTTTTAGTGATATGGATTTGATTGCGATTTTTGTGACTAAGAAATTTACTAACGCTGCTTCTCTTTGCTCACTATCTCTTTTGTCTCTAGAGATAAAATCTTCAATGTTCTCTTCTCCTTTTATTTATATATTATGTCAAAATCATATGTCTGCAATTTGATTTTCCATCTTGCAATATTTGCATTTCATTTAGAGCCAGAAATGAACTTGAGAGGTTTGTGATCCACTAAGACCTTAAAGCTTTTTTCATATAAATACAAATGCAATTTTTCAATAGCCCATACCAAAGCAAGAGCTTCCTTTACTGTAATGATATATTTTAAATTGGTTGTGGTTAAGAATCTGCTTTCGTAGCAGATTGGTTTGATCCATATTCTATCTTTTTGTAAAACTATTCCACCTATGGAATGATTACTAGCATCAGTAATTAGCCGTACTTCTTTGGGCAGAGCATAAAAAGCCAAAACGAATTCACTTGATAATTCTCATTTAAGCATGTTGAAGGCGTCATTATGTTCTTTTTCCTACTTAAATTTTGAAACTTTCTTTAGTAGTTCCTGTATTACTGTTTTTTGTTCACTAAAGTCTTTAATAAATAATGATACATATGTGCATAAACCAAGAAAACTTCGAAGCTTACTAACCGTTGTTGGTGATTTTTTTGGTAACCAGGATTATTACCATTTTTAGATATTTCAAATTTTATTTTCTCTTAAACAAAAATACACTTTTTAAATTTAATTTCAGACCCAATTGTTTTAAGGAACAAAAGTTCTAACTTTCTTAAAAAGTCTTGTTTGTCTAAGGAGCATTATAATTTTGTCACTGATAAATTTTACTCCCTCTATTCTACCATAGCTTTACTCCATAGTCTTTTGAAAAATTTCAAACAAACTGTTGATCCCATACACTAATCTTTTGTGTTGGTAGACTCCCTATTCCATTTTAAAATTGTACTACATTTCAGGGCAAGCGTTTCCTCTGATTCATTTTTATGTTTTTTCATCTGATGTTCACTTTTAGCTTTATTATTTATCTCATTAACTTGTCGGTTTGTCCTATACAATGGTTGTAGAGTATTTCAGTAACAAATAGCTAAATGATTTTTCTTTTGACATTTGAAACACATTTTGCCAATAGCTTTGCAATCTTTTTGGTGTTCAACAAAGTACTTCTCTCCACATCGAAAACATAACAAGTTATTTTCTTTTTTGTCATAATATCATTTCGGCTAGGTCTCAATTAAAAATCTGTTTGTTCTTCTGAAAAAGGTTTGTTTTTCTAAATGATCTACTAAGTCGATTTCCTTTGTGTATTTATTTGCTTTTTTATCAGACATTTTTTTTGCCTGTTGTTTTGACACTTGCATGTTTTGACTAATTTCAATACATTTCTTCAGATTTATTTCTTTATCTCTAAGGAGTTTTTATTTCAATTTTAAAGAATAACACAATGATATAAACTGATCTTTTACTGCATATGTAACATTTGGAAAGGCACAGTATTCCACTTGCTTTTTTAATCGTCAACTTACTGTACTTTCCTCTTCATTTTGCTTGATTCTTGAAACGTTCTCGTAAAGTTCGTACATTATATTCTTTCTTGGGCTGAAATATTGATAGAGTCATCACACATTGCCTTGTATTAATTGGTATCAGTTCCTTTCAGGGTTTTATATGATTCTTTTACATGTTTCCCTGCTAGATGCAGAAGCAATGCCTTTTTTTGAACACTTTGCGTGAATCCAGTTGCAACTAGGTACAACTCAAAATATTCAACTGTTTGTTTAAATTGGTTGCGTCATTTTGATTTATAATAAATTGTTCTACACCAGGTAAATTATTAATTACTTTTGCCATAGTTTAATCTTTATCATTAAATATTGTTTTCTCTATTTTAAATTATATATATATATATATATATATATTTGTTATTTCACCTCCCTAAGGCCGAGAAGGCCACTACAGACAAGGAGGCTACTTATATACTAAATATAACTACTAACCCTTATTATATTTTGTTTTAAGATTTATTTTAATAATTATATAATAAAATATATGTATATGTATATATATATATATATATATATATATATATATATATATATATATATATATATATATATATATATATATATATATATATATATATATATATATATACATATATATATATATATATATATATATATATATATATATATATATATATATATATATATATATATATATATATATATATATATATATATATATATATATATATATATATATATATATACTACAACGAATATTATATAAACATAACATAGTACATATTCTTTCTTACTAACTCACGAGTTCTAATGCGTTCCACATGAACGCGCTTTTACAAATCAAAATGTTTTATATTCCGTTACCAACTTTCCATAGATTTTATTCCAACTTTCAATAGATTTTAAATATAATTATAGAGCATTATAAGAATGTTTAAAAACTATACTTTGATAACATTTAGAATGAAATCAAGTTTTCTTGAGCATATAATTTATTTGCAACAAAGAGCAAGTCAGTTTCTTAAGATAAAAGTTCTTCTTGTGAGTCTTCAAGTGAGTCACTCTTCCCCAATAAAGTTTTTAAAGCTTTGTCTTAGCTTTAAAAAAATATATTTTTTCTTTGATGACATTGCTATCATAGCTTTTAGAACTTACATTACCTTGACAGAAATTCTAAAACATGTTTATTCTATTTAGATATCCTGAGAAAAATATACCTTTCATATCCTGAAAGACATGATAGGTTATTATGTATAGCTTTAAGGCAATATAGGCTACCAATATGGTGCTACCAAAATTTTTATTCAAAATAAAAGTATACACATAGTATTTGCTAAAATACCTGAAATAATGCGAAAGCAATACCAACAGCTCCTAAGTATAAAGTGTACTTTTTCAGAAAATCTTCAATCGATGAAAAACATCCCTTGAAAAAAACAAAAAAACAAGATAAGTAAATAATAAAAGTAATAAGAAAAACATATATATATTAAACATATATATACATACATATATATATATATATATACATATATGTGTGTATATATGTATATATATATATATATATATATATATATATATATATATATATATATATATATATATATATATATATATATATATATATATATATATATATATATATATATATATATATATATATATATATATATATATATATATATATAGGGTTATTTTCCTTTTTGTTAAGAAAATACGATGCAAAATAAATTTTTTTTATAGCTTTGCTGATTAAAATATTAGCTAACATGTTTTTTTTCTAAAACAAATCATTATGGGAAAAAAATAAAATAGCACTACACACTGTTTTATTGTAAAATACTCTGATAACTGTAAAAATAATTGTAAAAATAGCAAGTGTTGGGTTTTTTTTTTGCTATTTTATTTGTTTTATGTTAGTGCGTATTAGTAGGAGACATTTACATACAAAAATGGTATGCGGAAAGCATTGTAGTGCAGAAAAATGTAAACTGATCCGAAAATTGATATCAGCAGGGAAATCCTATAAAGAAGTTGGTCGTGTAGTTGAGTGTTCCCATAAAATGATAAGAAATGCCATAAAATTTCAAGAAAAGCCTGAAACACGCGGTCGAAATTGTTCTATTTCAACATTGCTGACCAATCACTTAGTCCGACAGGCTAAAAAGGAACCTATTAAAACAGCTACCGAGCTGAAAAAAGGACTTTAACATCGATGCAACAGTGCAAACAGTTCGGAGTTGTCTGTGAGTTAATGAAATAAAAGCCTGTAGCCCCAGAAAAATTCCACATTTAAGTGCCAGACATGTTTTAACGCGTATTGGGTTTGCTAAAAAACACTCAAATTGGCCACTCGAAAAATGGAGGAATATTTTATGAACAGATGAAAGTAAGATTGTGCTTTATGGTAGAAAAGGCTCTCGGACGTATGTCAAAAGACCGCCGAATGAAGAATACAATCCAAAATATATCATCAAAACTATTAAACATGGAGGTTGTAGTATAATGATATGGGCATGCTTATCTTATTACACAGTAAGGCCCATTCATCACATTACTACTATTATGGACCAACACGTTTATGTTGAAATATTGGATAAAGTGATGTTGCCGTATGCAGACTATGAAATGCCGGGGGTTCCAACAGGAAAATGAGCTAAGGCACACTAGCAAGAAGACAAAGAACTGACGAAGAAGCATAAAATGAACATTATGGAGTGGCTAGCACAGTCGCCAGGTCTTAACCCAATCGAGAAATTGTAGGCTGCCGTAAAGGAGGTGGTTGCTGCTGCCAAACCCACCACGAAGGAGTCACTTTAGAATGTAGTTGAAAGGAGACATGGAGCGAAATTCCGCTAAAGCAATGTCAGGACTTGGTTAGCTCGATGCCAAGACATTGTGTAGCCGTCAGAAATAACTTATATTTATTGTAAAATATTTAATACAATTAATCTCATAATATTTCCTTTTTTTAAAGTACACAATAAAGCTGTGATGCTACTATTTTTTTCGCGTTTTATTCGATTTTTTTGAAATTTTGTTTAATAAATGAATACTATATATTAAAACTTTTATATTTTATTTTTTATCAAAATTAGAAGCCATTTTACTATTAAATATGTATTTAAAAGTTTTTCAAACTATCAAAAATAGTTAAAAATTCTAATTTCAACCAATTTGTGGTAGTGGTGCTATTTTATTTTTCGCAGCTGTAAGAAGCCAGAGCTTTAACTCTCACACATGCCCACATTCTCCTAATATTGTTTATGGGAGCAATTTACAGCTCTCACAAAAGTATAAATTTTTCATAAATATAAACCACTTTCATTTCTTCTTCATTCTTGGGTATTGATTAGAGTTAAAGTTAAATTTTTAGTTATAAATTCTTATACAAACTACATCTAATAAATAAAAAATATTGTTTCAGTTCCAGATCAATTTTTTTTATTACAAAATGCAATTGTTTATTTTTAGTAAAGTTCTATTAAATAAATGATATAGCTAGTGTAAAAACCTAGTGTAAAAAATTTTTAGTAAAGTTCTATTAAATAAATGAATAGCTAGTGTAAAAACCTAAAGCTCCCGTAAAAAGAAACTTAGAGCAGCATATATATATATATATATATATATATATATATATATATATATATATATATATATATATATATATATATATATATATATATATATATATATGTATATATATATATATATATGTATATATATATATATATATATATATATGATATATATATGATATATATATGATATATATATATATATATATATATATATATATATATATATATATATATATATATATATTAGTTAAATAAAAAAAAATTTTTGCTAAGTAATTTTCTACTATATACATATATACATATATATATATATATATATATATATATATATATATATATATATATATATAACATATATATATATATACATATATATATACATATATATATAAATACATATGTATATACACATATATATATATATATACATATTTCATATGTATATATATACATATATATATGTACATATATATATGTACATATATATATATATATATATATATATATATATATATATATATATATATATATATATATATATATATATATATATATATATATATATATTTATATATATATATGTACTGTATATGACTATAAATATTAAAATGATAAAAAAATGACATCATCTTTAGTTAATTATTATTTTTATAATTTTATTGTGACTATTTGGCTAATATAGTATAAGCCACTATCATACTGAAAAAACTGTTGTTTTTTCAGTTTATTTCCGCGAAACAAAAACTTCTGAATTATTCCAGCGATTTTGCTCCAAAATATTAAAAAATTGTAATTTACTGGTGTCTTGAATTCTGTTTTTAAATGATCACAGTCATTTAAAAACAGAATTCAAGACCATTAGTCTCTTCTTAAAATTTATTATGTTTTTTAAAAGTTTTTGCCAAAGAAGTCTAATGAATCGACAATTTTTTACAAAAGTTATATTTTTGAAGCAATTAGTGCATCAATATTTTTTTCATATGGAAACTTTTCTTTTTCATTTATCTTATCTAATTTCCTTTGCCTGTAGTGCATTTGAAAGAAGTGAAATTTCGTTTAAAATATCAACCATTAATGCCAAATCATTCAAGAAATATATATTTTCAAGACAAGTAGCCATGCCCATGAACTGTTTATTTAAATGAAAATACTTATGTGGTGCTGGATGAGCACGCCAAACAGCTAGGACCGATCTTAAACTACAGGCAGCTCATCTGGGTCCAAAACTCTACTAACCTTTATAAAAATCAATTTCTAGTTCTTCTGATATTTTGGAAAGTTCAATTTGGTTTTTATTAGACTGATAAAAAATAGTGTATATCCTATCAAGCACCACCACCATAAATCAAGTAAATTATTTTAAAATAAAAATTTTAAAATAATTTACTTGATTTATGGTGGTGGTGCTACCGAATCCTCAACTTTTAAATAAAGTATGATGACTGGTTTGCAAGATATTGCAGATGCTTCAACAATAATTAAACAGATTTTCAAGTTTTCTTCAATTATTTTATTAAATATTTCTTTTCTGATATCCTTTGCAATGAAATCTAATATTTTGACAGTACCTTTTAGGAGAACGTAACACTATTCCCATATCTAGACCATTTTTCATTTGTAACTCAATCTATATCTGAAAATAGTTTACATCTTTTGGTCAGGCTGTAAGCTGTATTAAATACTCTACAAGTAGTTGTTAAATACTTTGTATTCATCGTATTTATTGCTTTTGATAAGGAATTTTGCTTAAAATATTATTTAGGCAAATGCTAGGAGAACCCAACTCCGACTTAAAACACCCCCTGCATTAGGGCTCTTATTTGAGTAACAGTCAGAGATAGTGTCTCGATATTAATACTCCTCTTGAGCAGATGTTAAATGCATCTGGCATTTAACATCTTGTGGAGTATTTAATACAGCTTATGTGGAGAGGTTAAGGCTATTGCTCTTGATATTTCTAGAGCTTTTGACAAAATTTGGCATGCTGGTCTTCTTGATAAGCTTTCTTCTTATGGTGTATCTGGTAACATCTTTAAGATTATTAAATCCTTTTTCCAATCGTAGTATAAAAGTTGCCCTTGATGGACAGCACTCTTCTTTTTATTCTGTAACCTTAGGGGTTCTTCAAGACTCAATCCTTGGCCCTATACTATTTTTAATTTACATTAACAATCTTCCAGATATTCTCACATTTAAGGTGAAAATGTTCGCTGATGATACTACCATTTATTATTGTCATGATAAGCCAACACTCTCTGATTGCTTGGAGCAGGCATTTATCACTTATGCTACAGCATGGGCTCACAGTGAACTTTAATTCAGATAAAAACCAATTTTTTTTAGCCAATTCTTATCGCAATAATTTAGATCTTCCTATATTCTATTTTATATTTTATTATTTAATGTCCCTGGTAGTACCACGCTCAACTCGTTTCTCCGCTCAGCGGCCTTGTTCGTCAAGATTCATGCTTCAGAGTTTTAGAGTTGAGAGAGGGTTATAACCACAAATAAGTAGCCTCCTTGTCTGTAGTGGTCTTCTCGGCCTTGAGGAGGTGAATTAAAAAAATAATAATAAAATAAAAAATATCAAATCAATTGCAAAATTAGAAAAAAGTTTATAGTCTAAATTTGCTGAGGTTGCATGACTTTATTGTGCTAGCCACTTTTTAACTACGGATTCTATTCTTTATCTCAAATCTCTCCTTGTATGGAAAGATTTGAGATTTGAGATTTGTATTTGTATATAAATCTCAAATCTCTCCTTGTATGGAATACTCTATATCTGGGATGGATCTTCCAATGATGTCCTTTCTTTTTTAGACAAGATGCAAAAACGTGTTGTAAACATAGTTGAACCTGCTTTTTCAGCCAACCTCCAACCATTATAACATTGTCGTAATGTTGCTTCTCTTTCCCTTTTCTATAAATACTGTAATGGCCACTGCTCTAAAGAGCTAGTTTCTTTTGTGCCATTTTGTAAAATTCATTTTTGTGTTACTCGTCATTCAATTAAGTTTTATCCTTTTTCTGTGACTGCTCCAAAAACTCTGATTTGTCTAGTTTTTTTCCTTAAACATCAGTATTTTGGAAATTGCTTCCTTCATCTTGCTTTCCTGATTCATACAATTTGCAATCTTTTAAGTTGTCTTTCAATCGTTATCTTGCTCTATAAACTTCAATTTTTCTCTTCCAGTAACTTCCAACTCTAATAATGGTTGCTTGCAGCCTTGTTGGAAGCAAAGAAATTGAAAAAAAAAGTCTCTATACAAATGGCTTATGATGAAAAATGCTCTTCCATTTTCTTCCTTAGAGAGGCTTGTTATATTTCTTTATTTTTCCCAAATACCTTAATTTAAAAGTTTTTCACTCTTTTGAAGTGTGAACACTTTTTTCACTTGTAAAATCATATTGTGCACATTATCAACCTATCATATTTGTCTTTAAAGTCCTGGTTGCACAGACCAGCATTTAGGAATATTATTTTAAGTGTTAGAGTTGTTATCAGTTTTTGTCTCAATTATTTCTTGAAGTTGTATAAGTTGCAATTGTAAAGGATTTGTAACATCCAAAGCCATTTGGGAAAGAACAGGTTCCAATTTTTGTTTTTTGATGAAAAAAATTATTCTACGCTGTTGCCTTTTCATTGTATTAATTTCAAGGGTTACTGCAAAATTAAATACAATTACTTATTACTTCATGGTTAAATTTCCAAGTAAAAATGAAAACGTAAGCACAAGTCACGCAAAAACAAAATCAAGGAATACATTACTGTAGTGTTATGAAAAATGTTCACTGTCAACAAACTGGAAATCACAATCAATGTTTTTATATAATAATAAATACAAAACCTTCTAAATCAAACAAAAGTAATTTAATTTAATAAAATAATTATTGCACATCACAAAATAAATGTATTGGAATAAAAATACAATTTATTTCACAAAGAATATATATGTTACTTTTATGAAATATACATATATGTATTTATATATATGTATGTATGTATGTATGTATGTATGTATGTATGTATGTATGTATGTATGTATGTATGTATGTATTTATATAAATATATATATATATATTTATATTTATATATATATATATATATATATATATATATATATATATATATATATATATATATATATATATATATATATATATATATATATATATATATACATAGTTTTAAAAATTTTTTAAAAGTTATAAAAATTTAATATAAGGATTACTGTATTGTAGTATTGATTTAATTTAGTATTTTTAGCACTATCATATGGAAGAGTTTTGCATGATGAGTTATAACCATTTTCACCACTTTTCTTGCAACAGGTTCCATCTACCTGTGCCATAGATTTACCATTGCTATCAGGCGCAGAAACACTCCAATCTTCAAGAGAATCAATACCACAACAATTGAAAGTCTGCTGAATTGTATTCATAGCTTTTTGTACATCTTCTTGTTTATAATATAAAGATGGTATACGCTTTTTAATTTCAGTCTTGAGCTCCGATTTTATCTTAATTAAACAAAGCAAGTCAAAATTAAATTTTGACAATGAATTTTTTCAAAATAAAATTTTTTACAATTTATATTCAAAGATGTATGAGTAAACAAGTTCTTACAGTTCCTCTCCAATGGTATGCCATTATTCCAGATATAATTTCCATTAAAAAAATAACCAACAGGAAAATGAAGAACTAAAAAAGTATTGAAATTTTTATAATTATTATTTGTTTTTACTTTATTTATGATTAATATTTATATTTATATTTATATTATATTATATTATTTATATTTAACTAAAAAACTACATTTCATAAATGTATAACCTAATTAATGATCAGTTTAAAAGTAAAATAAAAACCATAACCATATCAAATAATGTTATAACTTACTTTTCATTTTATCTCAGTTTCTAATTCTTAACAAAAAATATTAATTTAAGAATAAATAAAAATTAACACTTATGTTATAGGTTAAACTACTTAAAGTAATTATTTTTTGATTTTCAATTAATTCAATACTTACCACAATTAACATACATTTGTTTTCTGTGATAGCACCACAACATCCCAAGAAGGAAATGATCACAATAATAACACCAGCAGCAATAAGTGTATTAGCTATAGAAATAAAATCATAATCTGACACAGCTTTCCAACTTCCTTTCTCTACATTAAGCCAAACTCCTATGCCAAGTAGTCCACATCCTGTGAGCTATTGTAAACACATAATACATAGTTATAGTTAAACAAATAATTACACTGTTGAATGTGAATTGTAAAATGTTGAGAACGAATTAGATCTATACTTACAAAAAACAGAAAATTAAAGATGAAGAGAAGATATTTTATGCACTTTGCTCCACCAGATATCATTTTTTATTCTTTATAATGAAGTCAAACAAATAAATATAATCTATATAAAAAATATAACAAGTAATAATGTAATAATTTATTTAGTAAAGTAAACTTAATAAGTAACAAATTAACTACAATTTAAAATCAAAAAAATTACTAATGATATCAAATTGAAAAAAAAAGTTCAAATTTTCATGAATGTAAATAACTTCTTTAGGTGTAAAAAACCTTTAAAAAATGAAATACCTTAACTAAAAGTTTAAAATAGTAGAAATACAAAACAGGACACTTATGTTAGTAGTATACTAACATGAAATAGCAAATCTGAAATGCAAATATTTTTGTATTTTATATTTGTTTCTCTCACGTTTACGCTAGAGAAATTCCAAAATATTCTACAACTCATCATTATTTTAATTACTTAATCAATTTTAATTTCAAATATATAATTTATTTTAATGTTTTTAATGTTTTTGCTCAATTTTGCTCAATTTTGTAAAATCATAACATTAAAAAAGCAAAAAATCATAACATTAAAGCAAAAATTCATAACATTAAAATTCATATTTTTATTAAATTTAAATGGTACAGAAATAACATTTGCAATTTACTAAAACTTTCTAAAAAATCATATTACATCAACTTTTTTAACAATAATCTTTATAATGTAAAAAATACTTGGAAAGGTATAAAAGAAATTATTAATATTAAACCTTCTTCCTTTTCCAGTAAATCTATTAATCTCAAATTTAATGGCAATACAAATTTCAGACAGCAAAGCTGTATCAAATATATTTAATAATTACTTTGTAAATACTCAACAAACACTGTTAACAAAAATTGTTTCACCTAAATGTAATTTTTCAGACTATTTAAATAACCCAAATGTTAACTCCTTTTTTATAGATCCAGTCACTGAAAATGAAGTATCTAATCTTATAAAAAGTTTACAAAGTAAAAAAAGTTTAGGTATCAATAGTATTCCCACGTTTCTTCTCAAACTTGTTTCCCATATCATCTCAAAGCCTCTATGTACAATGATAAACAGCTCTTTTGAAAATGGACTTTTTCCAGATGTCTTTAAAATAGCTAAAGTTATTCCACTTTATAAAAAAGGCTCTAGAACTGACCACACTAACTATCGCCCAATTTCGCTACTGTCAAACATCAGTAAAATATTTGAAAAAGCTATGCACAACAGACTTTACAACTTTTTAGATAAATATCAATGTCTTTACAAACACCAATATGGGTTTCGAAGCAAGCATTCCACAACTCATGCACTTATTGAGATCATTGAGGTTATCAGAAAAGCTCTTGACAATAAGCTTTTTGCTTGTGGTGTGTTTGTTGATCAACAGAAAGCATTTGACACTGTTGATCATTCTATTCTTCTAAGTAAACTGGAATACTATGGTATTAGAGGAATTTCTCTCCAATGGTTTACCTCATATCTTTATAATAGGTTTCAATTAGTATCTATTAACGGTAACACATCTTCTTTAGTAAAATATACTACAGGTGTACCTCAAGGCTCTGTATTAGGACCATTGCTTTTCCTTGTTTTCATTAACGAGCTTAATATATCATTAAAATATACAACTTCCTACCATTTTGCTGATGACACTAACTTACTTTTAATTAACAAATCATTTAAAAAAATAAACAAATATATTAATCATGATCTATCTAATCTAATTCAATAGCTTCGATCTAACAAACTGTCTCTGAATACTAGTAAAACTGAAATTATCATCTTTAAATCAAAACAATCTAAAATCAGTAAACACCTAAATTTTAGGCTGAGTGGTCAAAAAATCAATCCAGTTATGTACCTAAAGTATCTTGGACTCAAAATTGACTCAAATTTAACTTTTTCTCAACATCTTAAGGACTTGTCAATAAAACTATGTAGATCGAATGGGATGTTAGCTAAAATTCGTCATTATGTCAATCTTGAAACTCTTATCAATATATACCATGCCATTTTCGGATCACATCTTAGGTATGCATGTCAAGTTTGGGGACGAATCCGCACCCAAGAAATTTTATTAGTATTGATATTAATAATATTCTTCTATCTTTACTAGTAAATTGTTATTTTTATTTATAACATAATAAGTATTATTATTGCTTTTTTTAATTTTTTCTTAAGTTTATTTACTACTTATACTATGTAATTGTTTTTATCACTATTATTGCTATTAACTAATATTGATTGTATATTATCTTATTATTATTGTTAGTATTGTTACTAATAATATTCCTCTTCATCGTCATCTTATTATTATAGTTAATATTATTTCTATAATTATTATCAATACTATTATTATTGTTATTATGATCACTTTTATTGTAATGTTGCAGGTTTTTACTTTAGATTAGTACTTGTACTATTTGTAAAAGTCCTTGAGATTTTACAACTTATTTCAGAATATATATTGAAATATTGAATTGAATTGAATACTTAATTGAACTTAATTGAATTGAAAATAATAATACTTTTTTTTTAACCGGTTATTTAGGTGTCCCTACGGTCTTATCGCAGCGCACCATGGTACAGCCTACGGTCTTATCGCAGCGCACCATGGTACAACCAGATTCTCTGGCACTAACATGAAAGGAAAAAACGTATGGGATTTGGACTTATTTCATTTCATTTTTCCATTAGGTTATCTAAACACAAAAAACAGAATATAAATTGAAAGAAGAAAAAAATATATAAAAAAATCAAAAAAATAATTAAAAAAAAAATAATAAAACTTAATAAAAATAAATCTTTCTGAACCATCAATAATACGTAAAAATACGTAGAAATAACCAAAATTCTAAACACTGTATAGTACACAACTACATTTTGAATGTAGTACGCAAATGTGAAAATTGGACACAATTATGCTTTTTTAAATGTACATACTGTGACCTATGTACATGTACGGCTGTCAAATATTAAGGTAACAGAGTGTTATCAAATAAAAAATAAAAATTTTACGTTATACAGATTTTATTCTTTTTGTTGACAACGTTGTAAACGTTAAAAATGTAATAGTGAAACTAAAAATGAAGCCTTTTTTTTTCATTTGATTAAAAAATATAAATACTTCTTACTTCTCATATGAAATTTAAACAAAATATTTCCACTGAAAAAAAATGTAAACTCCCCTAAAATCCAAAGTAGTATGACGAAAAACAAAGAATCTAAGAAACAGTTTTTTGCCGATTTACAAAGTACTTTTAGTTCAATCGTAATCTATAATTGAGCGATCTAAAACACTTGTGAGGATCTATTAAATTTGAAAAATCAAAATATCTTTTTGCATATCCCTAAAAAATTTCAAACACGTAAAACTATAAATAATTGACTAGTTCATAGAAAAATATCTATTAAATATCTGTTGAGATAGGAAACCGAAATAAGTCTTCATTCAATTGAAATGAATGAATGTTCAACGATAAAATCTTGTTTATAGCGTTATACGTAAAAATTTACGCATTAATTACATCAACAATACGTCGTTATTTCAGAGCAACAACCAACATCATTAAGTATTATTGAAAGTAAATTAACTTTGTTCAATTTATTACACTTACTTAATACTATTCCTTGTGACTTTTTAAAAAAAGCGCTGCGCTTTTTTATAATTTCTTACTTTTTAAGAATACTGTAAAATTTAATAAACTTATGTTATGTTATAGTTAATAAAAATAAAAACATAAACTAATGTTACGTTATGAATAATTTTTATTTAAGATACGGAGCGTCGAATTATTGATTACGATACGAATTACAAAGCTAAGCAGATTTTTATTTTTATCAGGTTTACTTTCTTTTCTTTTTTTTTTTTTCAATATAATTTAAATAAGTATGCGAAAATAGCGCGTGGTTATATTAACAAAAGTAAACATTAAAAAAATCTTAAAACTCATAAAATTATCGAAAATATTAAACAGAAAAATTGATTAGTTAAAAAACTATAAGCAAACAAATCAAGTTGTGATACAATCTAGAAAAAATTAAAATTATATTCCTATGAAGAAATGTCGATATTATTAAAGTATCAATTCAGCTTTTGTATTTTTATTGCTAGTAAAAGCTTGTTGCAAACAAACAAAAAAAACTTTTTTTGTAACATTAGTTATCGTAATTTATAAATATAATACATGACAAACTTTGTCTTATTACCAAGCCCCGAAAAATGCATCATCACTAGATAAAATATAGTTTGACGCTAAGATACATTTCAATGTATATCTTTGTTGTAATAATATCAATAAAAAAATGTATACATTATACATACACACATACATTTACAAACACGCGCGCGCACACAAACACGTTTTCGATATTGGAAAAAGCTAATAAATTTTGTTTAAATGTCAGAAATCTAAATAAAAGTTGTAAGCTTTAAATCAAAGCTTAATATTATTATTGTTATTTTGTTATTGTTATTTAACTATAACTTTTTTTATTTAAAAAATTTGCAACAATTAGGGTTGCCTTTGCATTACTTTTTTCGCAAGAGAACGCTATAGTTTTAAAACGCATAGATTTAAAAAATAACAATTAGAAACGATTTGTTTTTCAAGAGACTATACATCTAACAGTAGCAAACATATGCTGCATCTACATTTTTCAAAAGAAAGAACCAGTAGTTTAATTTGTAATTATGAGTAACTTAACTTATGTTAAGTTTTTTGAGATTCAACGCTATTTCTTATTTATTACGAATTTTGAAAGTCATTAGATTCGCGCGTCACTAAATTCGTAAGCCGTTCAAAGGTTTTAATTACGTATATCAAGATTACACGCAACTCAATAAAATGTTAGACAGCAATTCCACAAGCCTCGATGTTTTGCTTTTATCGAGGAAATACAATTTTGTAATATCTATGTGTATAAAAAATATTTTAAATTTATATTTATTTGGTTAAAAAATAAAAGATCTTTAGGATAATTTTATTTATTTTTTATTTTCTATTTTACGAGTTATTGCACAATTAAAAGCGTCACGGCGTGACAAATCGTTGTCATGTTGTGACGCACGTATTTTTAGCTATATCTGTAAAAATATAACAAAAAATTATGAAAAGTTTAGTT